CCTCCTCTCTCTCTTGTACACTTACTGTCCTGAAACACACCTACAATAATCCCTTTGAGGAACTTCACTTGCAATTTTCTCTCTTTGAAATATTGAAATTAAGGAGATTTTTACATTACATGAAATTGTTGTTAAATTATTTTATTATTTGTTGTACTTACAAACTTGATTTTTTTTTGTTATGTCAGCCTTAATAGTTATTTATATTCTGCTAGTATATTGAAAAATAATATAAAATAATATCTGATGTCTTTTGTCAGGTGTTGGTCTTGGACTCCTAGCTCCATCATCATACCTAGCTTTCAATTCATATTTTAATGAGAAGCGTGGGATTGCAATGGGTATTTGCCAGGCAGCCATTGGTTTAGGATTCATGGTTGCTCCGCCTGTCTGTCAATATTTATTAGAGCAATATTCATTTCGTGGTGCAATCTTGATTTTGGGAGGAATTGCTCTCAATTCAATAGTTGGTGCTATGCTATTTCGACCATTAAAAGTACCTTCGAGTACTTCATCAGAGCCAGAAATAGAAACAACTGAAGGTATGAATGATTTTTTATTTATTTAAATCAATTTATTAAATCTAATTAATTTTATTAATTATTTTTATCTAATCTAATCTATCTTTTTATCTAAATTATATAAAAATAAAAGAATGATTTCTGAATTTTAATACCTATATTTTTTTTAAAGAGTTGGAGCCAGCTGTAGTATCTCCTAATGCATATGATGAAATGCTTTGTATGGCTGTCATTCCAGAAGAGGATGATGAACTAACAAATGATACTTTCACTAATACATGTACAGACAAAATGAATGCCTTGCCTCAGGTAAAAATATTTCCTTTGTCATAAGTAAAAAGGTTTGAGATCTATATATTGCACATTCTCTGCTTATTAATTCCAGTATTTGCTAAAATTATTATAATTTATTCATTACCGAATCATTACATTTTAGATAGCTGCTGTGGATACAGAATGTGATGAACATATTGTAATATCTAGAAGGGGAAGTCTAGTAATGTCAGCAATGTTAGATCGTCGTAATGTAATGCTTTTTGATGAAGAAAGTCAAAATGGAGGTGTTTACAATTCAACAACAGAAATGATAAGTGGGCCAGATGAAAGCAGATTGAACCAACGCCCAATGTCTGCTTCTCTCACAAATTTCAGTAGTACTCTACTGATGTTTGACAATTCCATGACAAATTCTGCACCACGAAACCCATTGGGGTATCAAAGAGTACCTAGGAGGCGTCCTATAATCAGACATATGAGTTTAGAAATAACTACACGTTCACTTCTTGGATTCTTAGAAGATGACATAGATGAATCAAATCAAGAACAATCTGAACCAAAAAGAACTGGCACATTTCACTATATTCTTCAAGCTTTGTCTCATTTCCTTGACCTGAGTCTATTCAAGGATATTATATACATGAATATTGTACTTGGTTTGTCTCTGTCATTTGTAAGTGACAGTAATTTCTTCACTATATTCCCTCTCCACTTAATTAATGAAAAATTGCCACGCTCAGATATTGCTCTGTACATTTCTATTGCTGCTGGAGCAGATGTTGTTTCAAGATTAGTCTTGCCTTGGATAGCCAATTTATGTCACATCACCTCCAGAACAACATATCTCATTGCTTGCTTAGCTTCTGCAATTGCAAGATCTAGTAAGTTATTTAATTTATATTATGCTTAGTCATTATTGTAAACACATTAATGTTAAATAAAATCTCCTATATTTTTCTTTAGAAATTTAATTCTATTTATTTTTCATATTTATAACTGTTTGTTGCAAAATTAACATTAAATGACACTGAAAATTCCAAATGTATTATTCAGGCATTCAAAATCATGTAAAACTGGATTATGCCTTCTCAAAATTGGATTTTACATGTTACAATATTAATTGATTTATTTGATGGTTATTCATATTCTGTGCAACTTTTTCAAATTTCAGTTGTCGTAATGGTCCCAAGTGAGTTTATGCCACTTGCTGTCATGTCAGGGGTTATTGGCTTTTTCAAGGGTGGCATGGTTGTCAATTTGTCACTAACTATTGGTCAGCATTGCAGTAATGAGAAATTTGCAGGAGCTTATAGCCTTTTCATGGTCATAACAGGAATAATGACACTTTCTATTGGTTCCTTTGTAGGTAAGATAATTTTTGTAATTTTGCTATGTATTATCTTGCAATATTATCAGATAATTTCTTGAACATAAAAATTAAATGAAGAAAAAAATTATCAACCATTTCTAAGATCCCTGAAAAATGTTCACATGCCTTTGAAATAAATTTCTGTACGAATGATCTGATCTTAAAATATTGATTATACTGACTTCTGCCCTCATTTGTAGGGATATGATTTCAAACGTATAAATTAATTAATTGTTGCAGAAAGAGCCCCAAAAGCTAAAAAATACTTGTAACATTGTAACAAAAAATAGTTGTAAGCATCTTCAATTATATTTTAAAACGTTTTCTGTAGATATAGCCTGATTGATCATAAATTTACTTAAGGACTTAATGTAAAAAATTTAAAATGTTGAAACTTTCCTTTCTAATTCCAATCTTCAAACTCAAATGTATATCAAGAAGTATTAAAATTTGTAAGTACAAAATGAAGCATCAAATTTTTTCCAAGAGATATTTCAATAATTATTTCACATCACTTGTGAATGAAATCTAACATACAGGATGGAATCTGAGACTTAAATTTTTCCCAGGAATATCTGAATTAGTAACTAAAGATTAAGAAGACACAGTTAAATTGAATAGTCTTAAAAATTGAAAAGCTAGTTTTTATTTCACATATTGTCTAATTATAGTAATTTATAAAGTTTAAAATAATTAATGTTTTGCTAATATCTATTTCAGGAATGTTAAGCACCCCCTTTAATATTCATGTTTTGTCAATGGGACTTCTTTTGTGCCCTATAATGTGGCTCATTGAATACGTTCTTCAGTGGCAAATTGAGAAAAAAACTTTCTCACATATCATCAAAAGCATTTTCTGCAAATAGTGAGTTACAGTGTACATAAATTGACAACAAGAACTATGAGAAGAACATATCCTGATAAAATATTATTTTTAAAGAAAGGAATTAGAATAGTGTATGAAATTTTCTGTGCCAAATATCAAGATTATAATTAATGTTAGGGTATTTTCAATAGATTGTTGGCAATTTATAATATCTCATAAATGTTTTTTTTTCATGTTCCCTGATTTTTTTTGCCCAGGTAATTTTCAAGTAGTCATTGCTTTAATTCCTGAGATTCTGAATCTGTTTTATCTTAATTAAATATCATCATCATGTATGTGTGTGTGTGTGTGTGTATACACACACACATATACATACATACATGCATACATTACTTACATACATACATACATAATGCATATATAATTGTTCACTCTCTTCCTAATTTAATTTTTGACAGCATGATCATTAGCAACACAATATAGGCTAATGCATGTGGATTACAATTACATTTGTACTGTACTTGGCATGAAAGCCTGTGAATGGGCTCAGGCCTACTGACAATTACATTAATATTTCACAATTATTAGGTTTCCATCATTAACTTTCCATTTTTACACTTTTACATTTTTATTAGAAGATCACGATCAACATCTATCTTTTTCATTACATTATATTTTATTACATATTGTTCATTACATTTTCATTGTTGTTACATATTGTTCACCTTTATCAATGTAATTTTTCACTATTTCTTCTACTTATTTCTTTAAAGGATAATTACTTCAATTTTTTTTCTTATCATGTTAGGGTTTTTTTTATTTTTTTTTATCATATTAGACAAACCACCAAATTAGATGTGTTTGCTAAGCATTTTAATCAGTAAATATTTTTTTCCTTCAAAAGCTACAACTTCAAAACAAAATCCTTTCTATTAAGTTATTCACTTAAGTTTTCAAAAATATTATACAATCTAACATCACAAAAAGCAATTAGTTTTTTAAGTAATGATTTGTTCCCTATCACATCTTTGCAAAATTAATCTTAGATTTTATTTCGAGTAAAATTTATTTTAAGAATTATTTAACTCTAATTATCGAACAAATCATATCAATCTAATTATCATTCAAATTAATACTTTTTTAAAAGAAATCTGAAGTATTGCCAAACAAGTAATATGTGGTTTGTCTAATCGTTGCTGCAATGTGAAACATGTAGGGCCTATTTGAGAGTGATAACATGTATAGATGTGAATGAAAAGGAAAGATCTCCAATTTTTTGGTTGTGTAATTTCTTTTTCATTGTCTTCCAGTTAAAAAATATGTTGTGTTTGTTGAAGTTAATATACATGTATGATTAATGTCTTACAAAATTGGACAATATTTTCAAATTCTTCCAAGTAGCGTATCACAATGACCATGGACTTCTTGAAACTTTCAAACGAGGGTTATCTTCTGAGTTCCTAGTGGAACTTAATGAGCATGTACAGTAAATAAAAGAAGTAATTACAATTTATATACAAGATAACATACAATTTATAATATACATAATATTTTATATAATAGTATATAAAATTGTGAACAATTCAAGAAAATTTTACCTTTCCCCATGGTTTCTTTTGTTAATACTGTGACCTTAAAGTGATTACATCTTATTTGCTGAAACAAAATGTAAAAAGAAGTGTACATTTATATTATCAGAAAAGTAAACTGATCTCATATAATATTTGCATTAATGAGTAGGTAAATTAAATTATTTGATTATGGGAACAGGACTGAGTGAAGAGTCTGTGTGACTTCTGAACTTCTTAGTACTGGAGCCTCAACTAAATACACATGAATAATATTTATCATTATTACAGTAAAAATTAGGGAAAATATAACTTTAATTTAATGATTATTTAAAGATTTTTTCAAAATTTGTATTGTCTAAAAATGTTAGATATGTAGAAACAGAATTGATAAAGAAATTTCAATGAGAAATTTGTAATAGTAAAAATGTTTTACAAATTTTACCTAATAATACCAACCAAACTAACTGTCAGCAAATCACATCCATTGTTAATACATCAATCTTATCCGTATTTTCAAAATACAAAAAGTGCCCATTGATTAATTGGTTATGTTTACTTACCTGGTTGATGGGCAGTACACAAAAATAAAAAGGTAAATAAATTTTCATCAGTTTGTACAGGGCCTTGATTAGCATTGAGACCATAGCATGTGCCTCATGTGTCACCATGTTACAGGAGACCTGGGCCTATGAAGTAAAAAAAGATTGGAAAGGAGATAAATGAAAATAATGGACTAGGAGAATCACAAAGATTTGTGTATTTGTATCTGTAGTTTCAACATCACTTAAAATATGGTAAAAACTACAAACATTAATTTCTTCCTGATGTATTGAAATCATTTTGCAATGTTTCACTTTCAAATATTCTTTAAACTAAATTTAATATTTTAATTCTTTAAATTGTGAATTACAGTTCAGAAGTAAATATAATTTAATCTCAGGCATTTGAAATAAATTTTTTTAAACCTTCAAATTCACATTATTAAAATTCAAAATTTCTTCAGAGACCACTCAAAATTTTTTTCTAAAATATATCTATTTCTATTAGTTTTTAATGAACTTCTCTTAAAAGAATAAAACTAGCACAGCAAAAAAATGGTTATGACATGTTTTTCTAGATTTGTAACCTCAATCTTTAATCACATCGTTAATTAGTCTTGCCTTGATGGTACCTTATGGATCTTTAAAGAATCCAGTACAGAGTACTGAGATCTTTTGATTTGAAATTTATTTAGATTATAATGCATGAATTAGTATATGTGAACTCCTTATGCAAGTGATGATAGTCATACTCACTAGTCCTGGAGGCTCACTATATGTAGTCAGTTTAGTGTGCCCACAAATCTGTAGATCAAAGTAATGAAAGAAACCAGTAACCAACACACAATTGTTGTATACAACAATTATTTCATATTACAATAATTTTCATATTAAAGTTATATTGAAAAATGTTCACACTTTTGAACTGAATGCAATTCCTTTTGTAATACGATATTTACTTCTTTACATTCTTCTATATAAAATTAAAAATAAAGTGACTGGATTTGAAAAACTTCTTCAAATAGATGTCATGAGGTAAACAATAAGTTATCAATTAAACTTGTAATTATCATAAATCTTTAATAATATCATTTATGACATCTAGTATGATCAAAAATATACATAAGTGTATACAGCAATAGAGATAAATGCTTATACTGTCAACATTAAAATAATGTTTATTTGTTTCTTCATATTACTATATTTGTAAGTGTTCTTTTTATGTATAGAAATGGTAAACCTTTTGAGTATTGAGTGTCTGTGTTGTAAAAGTCCTGAACAAAGATTGCGATATTTGTAAAAATGTTTGTAAGTAATATTTAAATCATTGTATAAGACTGATATATTTTCCAAACCTTACTCAATTGTGTACTGTATCATATGCGTACTATGTGTAGATTTGTTCATGTACAAAAATATATTCTTAAAATTCAGAAATGATGGTTTTCTTTGATAATAAAATATGCATACAATAGAGATACATTGAAACATCTTTTATTATATCAGGTACTTAATACATAACTTTGAAACATTAAAAAAAAATTATATATAGTATGAGAGAGAATAGTATTACATTATTCTAATTGTACATATCAAACTTAATTCAGTATCTTCCTGGTTGAATACCAGTCATTCATCTCGCCTTGTAATTTAGTCTTTTCGGGACTACTTAGTGCCTCTCCAGTCATGGCTCATAGATGTTTTCATACATTGCTGATGTTTCGTATTTTTACAGATGAATTTCCTAAGGTTGAATCAGTCTCTAATGTTATTTATCATAGTCTTTCTTTTGGTCTGACTGATCTGTACAATATTTCTACACACCATGGGACCACACAAAGAAGCATTTGAATATTTAATGAATGAATGCAAATTGCATAACTGTTTGTCATGTCTCGAATAATTCCTGCAGAAAGAAACATTATCATCACATAAACAGAAATATTACAAAGAATTTTTAAAAGCATAATAAACACATCAGACTATTACTTTCTCGCTACCACTTACGCAGTAGAGAGAAACTTATGTAATGCTGCGGGGGGAAAACGGCGAATTTTTGGCAGAGAAACTCTTATTAACCTGGTAACAAAAATATGGATAAATCCAGTTGCTAAATTTAGAAGAAGAAAAAACTGTAACACGTGGAATAGCCATAATCCATATTTTGTATGTCCTTGATACCGAAAAATCGAATGACGGCAAAACGTCTGTCTGTCCGTCTGTCCTTTGTGAACAACGCTAAAGGCTGAACCGTTCAGCCGATTTTCTCCAAAATAAATATTCCTTGATCGATCTGGCTGATGTCGCGGCCCCTTCAATTTGAAACTGATATTTTAATTTTGGGGGGTTTTACATGAAGTCCCTGGGACATTTCCAAATTTAAAAAAAGGCTCCATCGTTTTTAATTAAATTTTGTTGTTGGATAGGGTGAAAAACTTCCCATTAAAAACTTTAATTTTTCAAAAATTTGAAAAAATGTTAACATTGTTTAGAGTTTTCTTACAACTATAATTATGATGATAGAGATTTTTGAGAGAAGGTCATTAGATTTTTCAAAAGTTTGAGTACCGACTTTCCACATAATTTTGCATGAAAGTGCATGCTATTTTGGCACCACTAGTTTTAATATGGAATGAAGCAAATAATATTTGAAATTCATTAATAAATTTATAGATATACACATTATTTTAAAGTAATTACCTATTAGTGGACCAGTTGAAATTCCTATAAGACCACTGATTGCCATGAAAAGTCCATAAGCTGCTGGGAAACGTTCTGCAGGACAGTATTCTGCAAATACTAGTGAAAAATTTGCATGTATCCATGCTCTAAAAAATCCATGAATTCCATTGGCAATATTCAATGTCAGATAATCATGCATGTATACCATCACTGGAAAAAAAATGAAGCATAATTTCTAAATGTTTCAACTTTGAGAAACGTTAATTGTACAAAGAATGATTTCTTTGATGATATATAAATGTTACATACCTGTTCTTCCTACAACCATACATGCTGAACCAATGAGAAAAACTGTTCTACTTTTTATATCACATACTATTCCTAAAAGTGAAAAAGCGATCCTCCCACCCAAATCACAGGCAGCGCCGATAGCAATACAGAGAGCTGTGTCTGATAAGGTGTAATTCAGAGAAAACATGAAAAGAGGGAAAAGGGTGACAAAGGTGAAGTCAGAATAGTAGGCAAACGCTACACCCAAAGCTATATTAACGTAGACAAGGTCTTTTAGTAAGCCCAGATCAAAAAAGTTGACAATGGCTGTCCACCAATGCCTGCGAGAAAAAAGTTTTTTTAGGTTAATAGTAATAAACTATTATAAACATACCACACAACACATTAAACATATTTTATTACAAAGGTTAGTTTATTCTTTTGTTACCTCACATTAGTAGAATCTCTTCTCTGTATGTGTTTGCTATTAATCATCATCATGCTTCCAGCTCCAGCAGCTACTAAACTCCCGGTGCTAATTATAGATGCTCGGGGCATTCGCAGCCTCATTGCCATAGCATTAGACAGGACAGGTACATCACATTCTAATTTACTATTTGTAATATTGTTTGTAAACTTATTGTTGGTTGCATTGACACCATCCTGAATGAAGAAAAGTTTAGTATATTAGAAAAAATTGGTGCAAGTAAATGTAAGAATTATTTAAGTAATTACTGTGGTGACTTACTATCAGAGGTAGAACCTGTTCATTATCACCTGGATTCATGTTCACTACATCTATTGAATCAGGGATTATTTTCATATTTGAACCCTGTTTCTCTATGTCAGAGTTATATTTTGTGGAATAAGAATATAAATGTTTTTCTGTATACACATTATGAGATATATCAGATAGAGAGTCCTTGGATCCAAGTTTCATTTCATGCATCATTTTCATAGAATTGTTAACCTCCATATGTTTTAATTTCTCAAGTGAATCAGATTTTCCATTTGTAAATGGAAGCATTTCAACTCCACTTTTAATATTGATATTAAGTGGAGTTTTCTTTGGCACAGGTATGAATGTTAAAGCTCCAACTGTAGCATGAAGAGTTACAGCTGCAACAATAGCTTGTGCTCCTCTGAATCCATAAGCATCAACTAATTTCTCCACAACAATTGGGTATAACATAACACCTCCTGAGAGTGTTGTTTGTGCAATCCCCATTACAAATACACGTCTTCGAGCAAAATAAGCATTGAAACAATGAAATGATGCTGGTATCATGAGTCCTAAGCCAACACCTAGTTTGGTAAAGAAGAATTAAAAACCATTATTGATAACATTGTCATATAATTTACATTCAGACATAGAAATAAAATATAAATAATACAATAAATTAATGAATGAATTAGTGCCTCATTGGATTAGAATAATCAACTTGCTACAAAACAGGAAAGTTCAACTGTTTGTGTCTTTTGAGAATGTTTAAATAACATTTGCAAAATAGCTTGATATTGTAATTTGATTAATTTTTATTGATGTTATTTGATGATTTTTGAGTCATTTTGCCAGTAAATATTTTGTTTTGTAATGCCAGTGTCTTTTAAGAAATTGCTTTAGAACAAGTATTTTTATGTTAATTTATGTATGAATGTTCCCAAATTTATGTTCACTAGAAGATATTCAATAATTCAATGAAAGGCATTTTGAGTCATCATAGTTTTCTAATTTTTTTTGTATCAGTTGAAGTATCACAAAGAGTAGACTCAATAATAAGATAAGTACCAATATGATATTTGATATAAAACTAGCAGACCGAAAACAGTACCGGTACTAAAATGAAACATTCAATGTTAAAAACATTGCAGAAATTTTTCAAATTGTTTGGCTCCTCCAAATGTCAGTGAACTATCAAATGCATGAAAACATTTATTTTAATTAATAAGACACTATTTTCAATCTGATAGCAAGCTTTCTCTCATCTCTTAAGTGTATACTGAGAAAACTGTTTTAATATATCTTACCAGGAAGAATTGCAAAACTGAAGATCATATAGGTTACACTGGTTGCAAATGCAGTCAATAAATTTCCCACAAAGAACAACAAGGAACCCACAAGTGCCACTTGACGACATGAATATGACTTGAGCGCATAATTCGCCAACAGACCTAATCAATAATAATATAAATACATTATCATATTATAATAATACAATTTATGATCTTGTGTAGTGTGAATCATATAGAGCATTAATAGCACATACCAGTAAAAGAATGTAAACACATATAGACACTGTTTATTAATGTTACTCCTGAAGCACCTTCCCCAAGACTCTCCAGAAAACTTCCAAAAATAAGTCCAAAGCATGCCATTGGACCTAGTGTCACTATCTGAAATTAACAAAAAACGAAGTTCAGTGAGTACCTAATAAAGAACTCAGAAATAATTTTCTTTCTGAAATATCACCTGCTGGCAAAAATCAAAAGCAGTATGATTCACTTAATGGGCCACATAGAGGCAGTAGAAAGATTTCATATAGTCTACCAGGCGGTGGCAGGAGATTCTGAGCTCCAGAGAATTTGAACAATACATAAGTTGTACTAACATCAAGCAGAAACTGCAAAAACTATTTTATTTCCAAAAATTGTACATTATTTCTTTGAATCTAATTTTGTAGAACAGATTTAATTTAAGGAAAATTCTCTATCATCAATATTGTACTTTTGCAATGTTAATTTTTTGCAATTTTCGAAAATACAGAGAGTTTGGGGAAACAGGACCAGCACAATTCTCTTTGCAACCTATGAGGAAAAAATTTAAGAAAAAAATAGGGTGAATTATATAGAGCATTAATATCACATACCAGTAAAAGAATGTAAACACAATTTGACACTGTTTATTAATGTTACTCCTGAAGCACTTTACCCAAGGCTCTCCAAAAAACTTCCAAAAATAAATTCTATAAATCTTATAATAAGAGCGTTTATTGTTTTTTAAATAGTTGTTTAAAAATTGCCTATATGTCATGCAAAATTACACCAAAATTATTCCTATTTTCGAACCAGGGCATAGATGTTTGGTGTTCATGTTGTCTTGAGTTATTCTTGCATTTTCCCTGTGTTAAAAAGCACATTGGTCTCTATATGAACAAGAAGTTAAAAAACGACCTTAAATACATAAATTAAAAGAAAATGCCGAAACATGTTTGAACAATTTTCAGAACAAGTAATTCAGAAAAAGCGTTCTGTTGGGGACCACCAATTAAATTCCATATGACTCTGGGATGGATGAAAACATATACATGTGCAAGGACAAAGTTTAATAAAAAAACGTTGAGTCTTGTTTACAAAATTTTGAAAATGCTTCATGTAAGGTATCCTCCAAATCAAAATATCCGTTACAAACTCGCAGGTCCTTGATTCGATCGGGGAACATCAATTTTGGAGAAAATCGTCTGAAGGCACTAGCGTTGACCACACGGACAAAGACAGATGTTTTGCCGTCAATCATTTTTTTTCTGTATCAAGGACCTACAGAACCTGTTTTCTGATGTGTTGGATGAAGTAATTTTCTACATATAAGGGACGAGATTTATCCGATATTTCGTTACCAGAAGCCTGCAATATGAAATTCCGTCAAAAAATCGCCGGTTTCCGCCACAATATTATAACTTTTTCTCTTTACGTCGTATGCAACTCGTAGTAAGGAGGGAAAGAAACAAGATTTACCAACCTTTTCGTTAACAGGGCCCGACAATACGAGTTTTTGTTTATTAAAATCGCCTCTTTCCTCAACAGCATTACATCACGTTATCTTAACTACATAAACACGTGGTAAGTCGAGAAGGTCAAATGGGGGATTGTAAACAAAGCTACAATGTGCTTTGTCTGCTTATGTTTTCATTCATCCCAAATCCATATGGAATTTAACTGGTGGTCCTTCAACAGCACGTCCTTTACAGTTACATAATATTGAAAGTCGTAGGCTTCCGAGGCCAGTCATGTGCGTGATCTTGGCTGTCCGGGTGACGCCGCGTCGAAGGCTGTGTTGCCGACGCACCACAAAGTCGCTGCCCTACTCGAGGATGAGGCGTACGCTCCGCTCCAGGTAAACCCAATCCGGAAAGTTCGAGCAGAAGACGCGGTCCGCGTCAACAATGCTAATGACATTGAGCCGGATATCAAACAGCGACTAAAGAAGTGGAACAGCGCCATGCCACGGCTGTACGGGCTCCCCAAGAACCACAAGCCCGATATACCCCTTCGACCAATTGTGAGCGCCGTGAACTCCACAACGCATCCACTGGCACGCCACATGGCCAGCAAACTACGCCCTGTGACAGAGGATATAGCGTCAGCTGCCAGGAACTCCAGCCTTTTTTATATAGACCTGCTGCGAGGGAGGCTGCTGGGAAATTCGGACATCCTTGTCAGCTTTGGCGTAACGGCACTCTTCATTCTGGTCCCGGTTGACGAGGCAGTTACGGTCATCTGGAGTAAATTAGAAACCTTTTGCCTTTCTTCCACCTTCTTTCAGTTTCGGGGTAGCGTTTATGCCCAGGTAGAAGGCGCAGCCATGGGTTCCCCGTCATCACCGATAGCTGCCAATATCTTCATAGAGGTGTTGAAAATGAAACGCTGGAAAACGCCAGGCTGGGACCCGCCATGTGGGTCAGATATGTAGACGACACGTTTGTCATATGGCCCCACGGACGAGACACACTCCTGGAATTCCTAGATCACCTGAACAGCGCCCACCCCAAGATAAAATTCACCATGGAGGTTGAAAAAGATGGCCGATTGCCTTTTCTCGACGTCCTGGTTAGCAGGCAAGAAGACGGTAGCCTAGGACACGCGGTTTATAGGAAATCAACACATACAAACCGCTACCTCCATGCAGAATCGCGCCACCACCCTGCGACAAAGAACGGAGTTCTGAAAACTCTCGCTACGCGGGCCGCCAGAATCTGCGACGAGGATAGTCTCCCTGCTGAACGAGAAACTCTTAGGAAAATCTTCGCTGCCAATGGTTACCACGGACCCGTTATCCAGAGAGCCCTACGTCTCACTCACCACCAGACTGCTCTCGGGGAAACCAGCAGCACTGAAATGGAAGACAAGGCAACAGTGGCTCTCCCTTACATCAGTGCCATAACAGACAAGATTGGCAAACTGCTGAAGCGCTTTAAGGTTAGAACCATTTTCAAAGCCCGCCACAAGCTCGGCCAAACTTTGGTGAGAGTTAAGGACCGGCTACCGCCACCCCAAACAGCGGGAGTGTACGCGGTGCCTTGCTGCTGCGGACGCAACTACATCGGTGAGACCGGCAGAACGGTGGAGGAAAGGCTGCGTGAGCACATCCGCCACTTCAAACAGGGGAATATCGAACTCTCCGCTGTCGCCCAGCATGCCTGGGAAACCGGGCATGATTTCGCTTTTGAGGACACCAGGATGCTCGCCAAAGAAGACCGACGGTGGCCCAGACGCGTCAAGGAATATTAACGGCGACGCAGGGTTGCGCCTTCACGGGGCCTGGAGGCCGTTACTTCGGGCACGCGCCCGGGTGCTCCCCGAACCGGACCGCTTCACGCCGTCCGACACCGGGCCGCGCCATGTGGGCCAATCGCGGACCGGAACTCGCCGTCCGATCCCGAGCCATTCGGAACCGTTTCGCGCCGTCCGATCACGCGTCACCCGACTTGACCCCCCC